ACTTTAATGATGGGATATTCAAAATGCCTAAATAATGTTAAGAAAAATTAATTCTGATTAATGAATAAAAAGGTTGGACTTCTCTTTGTGAGTATAAATGGATGTCATATTTTAGGTTTGAAAATATACACGAGAATTTTAACCAACAAAAATAAAGTTCCTTTTGTCACTGTTGGTTTTGACCAAATCAGGAAAAGTGTTTGTTTTAGAAGTGTCAGACAGGATTTTGCTTCCTGCATTAAAACATCTGTGTGGAATTACCTTTTTACTTCACGAATTACCTTTTTATTCCATGATTACTTGAAGTCTTGAGTCCCAGCTCGTGACATAGGATTGAAGTTCATTTTCAGGTTCTGAAAGCTTAGTTTTCCCAAATATTTGAGTTGACAAGCATAGCCCAAGTGTGTGTGGTTTTTCCACCTATGGAAATATCCTGATTAACTGTGTCAGAGGCTATGTTCCTCTGGTTATGAAAATAATACCACTGCCAGTCTCTCTTTTTTATATTTGTTGCTCTTTTAAAAAAAAGTGTTCTTTCTAGTACAGTTTTATTGCACAAAGGTTTAATTTATAACCGCCTCCTCAAACCTTTTACAGAGTGCCTTCGCTTTTGAATGTCCTTGAACCTTTTTCACTAATGCAGTACTGTCAGAATTAACTCTTTCTTGGTGGTGCTGCAGCAAGATAATTGAAATTCTTTAGCACAGAGAACTTACCATAAGTGTGATCATCCAATATTGATGGTGAATGTCTCATTGCACAGTGAAGGCCAGGAAGTGGTGAAGAGGATAGTAGTGATATGCCTTCCGTGTTCTCAACCAAGACTTCGTCATATGTAGAGTGAGTTGGTCTGGGATCTCTTCATCTGACCATTTAAGTGGAGTGGAGTGAAGGTGGAGTTGTGCTTTTTTCACTTTGTTTTGGTGTTCTTTTTGTCACTACAGTCCCAAAAGTTGTACAGTGCTTGTAGGTGGGGTACATTTTTTTTTTTTTTTTTAAGATCCAAATATTGTAATGGCCCACATGTCTTGGCTGTGCTATGGACTTGATTACAGCAGAAGGTTGAAATGGAATAGCTTTCTGTAAGCAGATGAGATTTTTTCTATATTTGCACCTCTCATACCCTCTAGCCCCCCAATACGCACACACTTTAGGTCAGTCTGCACTACAAAATTAAATCATTATAAGGGCTCTGGCTATCAATGCCCCACACCAATAGCCAGTGCAAGTGTTCTTGGTGAGGACTTATGCCACCAACAGAAGGAGCTAGTGTCGACATACAAAAGCAATTTAATTACTCTGGTGTATTTACGTTAATGTAAGTTAAGTCAACTTAACGTTGTCATGTAGACATGCTCTTAGAGTATTTTTTGGGGAAGAACCCTCTCTTTCTAGACCTTACATGCAGTACAGTTTGAAACTCTCTAGTCTGGCACACTCTGTTCTGATAACATCCGTAGCGTGGCCTGATTTTAATTAGGCCGATGTCCACTTATCATGAATTGGGCCAAGTTTTCCATGGTTCCATGTAGTTTTACAGCCACCGGTCCTGGTTCTCAGTGTTTTGTACTGTTATTTAGTTCTATTTAATCCCTAAACATCTTCTAAGAGCCCAGTAAGCAGTAGAAGTGTTGGTATTACTGGTAGACAATATTGACCTCTCGTGGTTCGGCATCTGTCCCGTCCAGATAGTGACAGACTAGAAAAGTTCAGTCTGTACTGATTTGTGGTCACCTACTCTTCCATACAAACTGTTGAAAGGTGCTAATGGATGCCAACATAGATGTCTTTGGATCAAAGACCTTCTTTCTGTCTCAATGGAAGGCAGAGTTGAGAGAGCTGCAGAGAATGAGGGCTACCTCCCAAGGCAATAGGTGGCATGTAAATATGAGGTCCCATTGAAGTAAACTGGGCTATTCACTTTAACTTAAACATATGTTAGTGTGCTTTGATGTGTCTTGCCTTCCACTAGTGTAGTGGTGTAGAGTTACACAAGGGGGTCAGGTAGCACATACAAGTTCATTATTGTAAGACTGCATCAAGCTGACTGAATTTAATAATTCTGCTACATTTTATATGTAAGACTCCTCTTGCATGTATTTGGAAAAAAAATCTTTAAAAATCAGAACTTTGCAAGCAGTTACTGAGACAAACAATAAAGCAGGTCAAATACAAGATTTTTTAAACTTTGGCTGTGACCTAAACCATTCTGTATTTTCTCTTTTAGATGAGAACAAGGACTTAGATAGCATTGTGGATGTTTTGTCTTTCAGCTCGTTTGTTCCCACTGAGGGACAAGAGGAATCTGTATGTGTTACAAAAGCAGGATTGTCTGGGTTACAGGTCCAGAGTTGCAGTACTAAGATGAAGTACCACATCCTCCGTGAAAAGTGTTCTTGGAATCTTGTACCTGAGGAAACTGACAGCCAAGTTTTCAAGTGTCAAACTATGGTGAAAATGACATTTAGAGCACTGGGCTTGTATTTTCCACTTGCCCCTGCTCACCCACCCTTATTAGCATCATTTTAGGGGCTTTCATGGTAATGCACCAAAATGTCATCACCACCACGGCTTAATTTGTGACGACAGAGATGGCAGGGCTCAAACTGGGCAGCTGGAGAGTGGTGGCTGCTGTCTGGGCACCCAGGTCTGAAGGCAGCACTGCTACCAATAGAAGCACAGAAGTCAGGGAGGCATAACATGGTATTTCCACCCTTTTGTACTGTGGCTCATGGCCGGGCTGTCTTCTGGGCTCTTGGTCAGCCACCTTACTCTGAAGTGCTGGGATGGTGAACTTACCAGCCTAGAAGTGCCAGGGCTGCCCTGGAACACATTGAGCACTGGCTGTAACATTTGGGGGGGGGAGTGTGTGTGTAGGAGTGGGGGGAGGGAGGGGAATGAGAGAGCTTCATCTGGATTGGAAAATGCCAGATTGACAGCCTTGGATATTGATGTCTTCTGTTTATGGAATGAACAACAAAGGTACCACATAGACAGCAGCAGCAAAGGCCTACCATATTCCGTCTCCAGTTCTGGAAAAAGACTACTGGCAGGGTGTGAAGGAATGAAGTATGTGACCCCATTTATTTTAGCCACTCTTCTGAGACCACCAACAAGACCACTACCTAATCACTATGATGTCAATAGTGTATAGGGACCGCTGGCCACTGGGGGTATTGAGGCTGAACTGCAACAACCAGCCCATGCCTGAACTGGGAAATATAGGCTGATCATTCCTGAGATGTTCAAGTTAATTTTAAATGCCACAAGTGAATAAAAATCCCTGCCAGTAGATTGAAATCAGTGTGTTTTCCAATTCATTTTTGTTTTACTAAAAATAATGTTTTTGTTTTATAGGAAATGAATTTACATCTAAATACTAGTCAGATAATGTTCTGTTACAACAAAGTTTTATAGTTTGCAGACTATAAAGTAGTGTGTGTGCGTTTTTGCAAATCTTAGACACAAACGTAGGAAGAACATCTTTATTTGCGTTTCCACCTTCCTCCTCCTATAAAGGAAATATTTTTTTACAACAAAACAAGCAAGGATATCCCTTACTGATTTCCAAATCTGTGTAGCACCCCACTGCAGAAGTAGCAGAGGTTGCAACCTCTCCTTAAATGATTGATAAGTTTGGCAAGCCATTTGAATTATACAACTCTTCCAAATAGGAGGAAAAGGTGGTAGGGGGGAGGAAATTACAGATTCACATTGCAGCTATTTTGTTCTCACTTGACAGAACACCTTTTAGTTACTTCAGTGGTATATGGTTTGAGATGAAGATGGAAAAGAGTTTGTCTTAAATAAATCATGCTGCTGTTGACTGCTGCTCTTAAAACACAGAACGTCTTTATGTTTCTTGCAAATATTCGTTTTGCTGTTATTGGCTAAAAAAACCCACAAAGTGTTCATTATGACTTAGCCATCAAAGCAAAGGTTTGGGGGGAGTCAAGAGACCTTCTTTGACTTGCTGTGCATCCTAGGGAAAGTCACTTAATCTTACTGTGCCATAGTTTCTCCATTTGGAAGAGTTAGTTCAGGTTTTCTAAAGTGTTAATGTCTAAAAAGAGCTCATCCAAAACAATTTTAGTAGTTTTTTATGGTATTACCATTCACTACAAAAATGTGCAGATGTATTATTTTAAGTATTTCCTTTCATGGTCTCTGGCATATATTCCAGTAATTGCGAATCTGTAACTTCTAATTATTTTAAAAAGTAAAACTATTATACAACAAAGAAAAAAGGTTACAGACTCCATTTTACTGCACAGAAATAGACTGAGGCTATGGCTAGACTGCAAGCTTCTTTCAGAAGAAGCTTTTTTTAAGAGGGATCTTTCGAAAAAACTTCTTCTGAAAGAGAGCGTCCACACACACAAGCGCATCAAAAAAGCAATGTGCTTTTTCAAAAGATAGCGTCCACACTGAATAGATGCTATCTTGCATTTAAGCTGTGATTACTATGGACAGAGTGGTCACCAGGGCACCTGTGCTTTTTCCTCTTTCCTCTTCTTTCAAAAGAACTCCCTCTTCCCTGTCCTCACATGCTTTTTTCCAAAAGAGCTCTTTCAGAAAAAGGCTCCTCCCCCTAGAAAGAGGATTACCCAATGCCAGAAAAAAACCTCTGTTCTTTTGATTTACTTTCGGAAGAACACGACTGCAGTGTGGGCGTAACTCAGGTTTTGTTGGAAAATGCCATTTTTCCAACAAAACTCTGTAGTGTAGACCTATCCTGACCTATATCATGGTAAAACCCCAGTCCTGAAAAAGCTTAAGTGCCTACTTAACTTTAGGGACATCAGTAGTTCCATTAGCTTCAGTGGGAATACTTACATAGTTAAGTATGCATTTAAAGTTCTCCTTACATTCTATGTTAAATAACTTGTATTCATATTATTGTGAGCTGCATGTCTATTCCAGAAGTTTATCTTTAAGGATCTTGCTTTCTTTTAAGTGACTTATTCTGACATAAGTTTTCATGTAATTTACGCCTGCAGTGTGACTCTTCCACAAAGTGCCAAAATCAGTACGCACCAAAATGGATTACTCGCTATATCTACTGGACATCACTAATCATACTGGGTAAAATTAACATAAGTTACACTCCCTGAGAAAGTGGGCATCTGGTACAAAAAAGCCTCTCAAAGCAAATCACAGGTGAAAAAAATAAGATTTTTAAAACAACTGTAACTGGTATATTTTATTTTCCTGGTAGATCATGGCTTGACAGTGTTGAGGTAAATGCAGATATGACATACGGATAATCTTTACATAAAGGTTAACTGTCTTTCAGCAAATTCCCCCTCCCCCACAATATTTTGTCTTGTATATTCATATTTTTATTTTTAATCAAATATAAAAGTGCTATTTCCAGAAGAATTGGCCTTTGTATCTGTTTTATTGCCTTGCTCTTTCTTCAGAGTAAAACAGCAATTAGGCAGTGCAAAATCTTGTACGCCTGTTTTTTGAGCAGGGAAAGGTGGAGTTATGTAGGATTCCTTTTTTTAGAACTACTCTATTATGGACTAAGTTGTAGCATTTACTTACCACCTTTTTATCAACATTTTCTCTCTTTAGGAATCAATGTTTGAGAGAAAACAACCCTGAGTATGTGTCTCCCTACTTACTCTGTTGCTCAGTCATCTATAGTGACATGAATAGTGGACAGGAAGGTAGCAGCTTTACAGACCCTGGAAGTGGCAGTATGAGTCCTTTTAGCATAAGCATAATGTATTGGGAGAGCTTCACTTTGGGGTGGTCTGGTTTTTTGGTTAATAGGATATAGTCCTATCCTCTCCTCTTATTGTAATGAGTTTGGAGGTCTGGTTATCAAGTGGGAATAAACACATTGAAATCCATTATTTGAGATAGTTGACTGAAAAATAAACTTCAAAATAATGAAGTTAATTTAACCTTACTGATGATTCATTATCTATAGGGGACTGTAAATAGTTTTTAAGAAACATTCTGTGAAATACATATTTCTATGAAAATCTGGTTTTGTAGGGCCTCCTAAACAGCGGAAAGAAGTACCTGTGATTTCTGATTCTAACATTAACAATAGTTTGTAGCATTCTATGCATATAGGTCTTGTAAAACAAAGCAAAGCAATCTTCTCCCTCATCTTCAAATGTATTTTAAATGCATTAATTTAATTATTCTTTGTAAATGGTGCACTATATTTAACAGCCAAGAGCAGGCTCCAGTTGTTTTGAGGGAATTAATAATAAAGAGTGGGGTTCAAATTTTTGGGCATACTAAATGTGAGGGGATACAAGTGCATGGTATGTCTTTTTTTATACTGAGTATTTAGGAGTAGTCCCTTTCAGCTCAACTCCTGTGAGCATGCATAATTAGTTGTGCAGGTGGGTTTGAATGTATGGCTTTCTAAAGAGCAAGAGGTTGGGAATACTAGCAGTTTGAAAGAGTAGGAGGCTGGAGAGTGGAGGTGGTTGCAGACTGCAGAAATTATAGCTATGGCAACAGTGTTTCTTCTCTTTTTCAATACCTTTTTTTTTTTAAAATAGACTCTGTCCTGGGAAAAACACTTATACTGCACCAAATGAAATAATGGGGACCTTTCTTAGATGGTTTAACATAAATGAGAAATGAATATTAAATCCCTTCACAAGTGCCTAATGTATAGGTAAGTTTGCTACAGTAAACAACACTTGTGATGAACACAATGTTATAATTTTAAAACCCTCCAGTTCGTAAAGTGAGAAAATTCTGAGTAAGGTAATCCAATGAGGTAATTACCCAGGCCATTCATATGATCAGTTAATAACAATAACGACATGTAAAATGATATTTTTACATTTTCCTAAAACAACCTTAACTCTGTTCCACAGAACTTACTTATGAACTCTTAAACCATGCATCAGTTACTTACACCTACATATAGAATTGTCCATTGTGTAAACAGCTGCTGAGGGTTGCATTAAAAAAACGCCTGCTAAAAAATTTACTGGCAGAGGGGGGGGGGGGGGGGGAGCACATTGGCTGATTGGGAAAAGCTGCACAAATATTTTCAGATGGTTTAGATTATGGCATACTGGCACACATGTAATCTTGTATTCTTCATAAGTGATACCACAAATGGGAGAATGGCATTTGCAATTTTCGATTCCTTATCATGCAGCAATAGAAGGGAAAAAATAAGCATATATGACCAGAATTTTGGAATTTTTTTAACTGCTGTTTTTTTTTCATTTTCTTTATTAAAGTGTGTGCTTTTAAACTACAGAGACACATTAGCTTTTCCATAATCAAGGTGTAAGTTGATTTTCTATTCTAAAGCCCAAATGTATTGCATGAAGTAGAGTCCTCTCTTGGTCAAAACTAAACCTGAAATGCCACATGTGTATTCTTGCTCCCGCTCTTGGTCAAAACTAAACCTGAAATGCCAAATTCTTGCTCCCTTGCAGAATTTTTTTAAACATTTTTTCCAAGATGTGGTCTTAATTGTGTGTCCTGGATCTATGCATGATGGAGATTCTCTGTATGGAGAGCTCCTCTTTGTCAAATAGGGGAAATCAGATGGCTCTGGACTTTATAGGCTATCTATTTGCATAAATGGATGGGGTCTGTGCCTCTGTCTCAGTTCCAGGGACACTTTCTATCTTCCCACATTCTAGCAGTGAGGCAGCTATGCAGTCAGACTAAGATGGTCTCTCTTCAATCTGCTATTTTCCCCTCAGGGAATGTTCCATGTCATTAAGTAGAGCATATGTAAATCCCACCTGGTTGTGAAGGGAGTGTCCATTTGTCCTCTAATTATAATACAGCTGAAGAAGTGTGCAGGGGATCTAGACAAAAATTTCATGTAATTACTATAAAGATTCTAAAAAGAAAAAAAAACTATTTAAAAAAAAAAAAACCATGCCAAACTCTAACCAGACACTTTTCAGGCTAGTCTGATATTTGCTTGTGATTTGATTAGAGCAATGTTTCTTTAGTCTTCTCCATACTTGGATTAAACTACAGAATATAGGTGAATGGATTATTAGCTTGTTAGTTAACCATCCTTAGGAGGAGACATTTATCTCTTGGCAAGAACTACAACTCTCTGCTGGTTTTGTTCCATTTTGTATGATAATTCACCCATAATTGCAATTTGCCAGTATTCCAAGTGACCTAACGTATGGTTCCAGGACAGATGGTGTTCCAATCTTCCATAATGGCAATACTCTAATATTGTTTAGTGGGGTCTCATGACTATTATTGCCCTCACTTGTAAAGCAGAGAGTTAGAAGTTCATTATTATGCTGAAGGATACACAAAGTCCATGTCAAAATAAGTCAGAACCTAGTATTTCTGAATCAGAATTATAGGGACCTCAGGAGGGCATCCAGTCCAGCCCCCTGCCCAAAGCAGGACCAGTCCCAGCTAAATCATCCCAGTCAGGGCTTTGTCAAGCTGAGAATTAAAAACCTCTAGGGATGGAGATTCCACCACCTCCCTAGGTAACCCATTCCAGTGCTTCACCACCCTCATAGTGAAATAGTTTTTCCTAATATCTAACCTAGACCTCCCCCACTGTAACTTGAGACCATGCTCCTTGTTCTGCAATCCGTCACTACTGTGAACAGCCTCTCTCCATCCTCTTTGAAACCTCCCTTCAGGAAGTTGAAGGCTGCTATCAAATCCCTCCTCACTCTTCTCTTCTGCAGGCTAAATAAGCCCAAATCCCTCAGCCTCTCCTCGTAGGTCATGTGCTCCAGCTCTCTAATCACTTTGTTTACTCTCTGCTGGACCCTCTCCAATGTGTCTGCCTCCTTTCGTTAGTGGGTTCCCCCAGAATTGGACACAATACTCCAGATGTGGCCTAACCAGTGCCGAATAAAAGGGAATAATCACTTCTATAGATTTGCTGGCAATGCTCCTTCTAATGCACCCTAATATGCCATTAACCTTCTTGGCTACAAGATCCATGACTCACATCCAGCTTCTCATCCACTGTAATCCCCAGATCCTTTTCTGCTGAGCTGCTACCTTAGCCAGTGGGTTCCCAGCCTGTAACAATGCTTGGGATTCTTCCATTCCAAGTTCAGGACTCTGCACTTGTCCTTGTTGAACCTCATCAGATTTCTTTTGACCCAATCCTCCAATTTGTCTAGGTCATTCTAGATCCTATCCCTGCCCTCCAACGTATGTACCTCTTCCCCTAGCTTAGTGTCATCTGCAAACGTGCTGAGAGTGCAATCCATCCCCCTCATCCAGGTCATTAATAAAAATGTTCAACAAAACCAGCCCTAGAACCGATCCTTGGGGAACTCCACTTGAAACCGACCACTAACTTGACATCAAGCCATTGATCACTACGTGTTGGGCCCAACAATCTATCCACCTTACAGTCCATTTATCCAATCCATATTTCCTTAACTTGCTGGCAAGAATACTGGCGGGAGACCAAATCAAAAGCTTTGCTAAAGTCAAATTATATCCCAGCCACTGACTTCCCCATGTCCACAGAGCCAGTTACCTCATCACAGAAGCTAATCAGATTGGTCAGTAGTGACTTGCCCTTGGTGAATCCATGTTGACCATTCTTGATCACATGCCCCTCTTCCAAGTGTTTCAAAGTGGATTCCTTGAGGATCCACTCCATGATTTTTCCGGGGACTGAGGTAAGGCTGCCTGGTCTGTAGTTCCCTGGATTGTCCTTCTTCCCTTTTTTAAAGATGGGCACTACATTTGCCTTTTTCCAGTCATCCAGGATCTCTCCCGATCTCCATGAGTTTTCAAAGATAATGGCCAAAGGCTCTGCAATGACATTTGCCAACTCCCTCAGTACACCCAGATGCATTAAATCTGGACCCATGGATTTGTGCATGTCCAGCTTTTTTAAATAGTTCTTAATCTGTTCTGTGAAGACAGAGGCAAAGAAAGCATAGAGTACTTCAGCTTTTCCCACATCAGCTGTCATTAGGTTATCTCCCTCATCCAGTAAGGACCCCACACCCATGCTGATCATCCTCTTATTGCCAACATGCCTGTAGAAACCTTTTTTGTTACCTGTCACATCCTTTGCTAGTTGCAATTGCAAATGTGCTTTTGCCTTCCTGATCACTCCCCTGCATTCTCGAGCAATATATTTATACTCCTTCCTAATCATCTGTCCAAGTTTCCACTTCCCATAAGCTTCCTTTTTGTGTTTAAACTCACCAAGGGTGTCCCCAGTAACCCAATCTGGTCGCCTACCATATTTGCTTTTCTGACTGCACATCAGGGTGGTTTCTTCCTGTGCCTTCAATAAGGCTTCTTTAAAATAATGCCAGCTCTCTTGGACTCATTTCCCTTTCATGTTAGCATCTCAGGGGATCCTTCCCATCAGTTCTCCGAGGGAGTCAAAGTCTGCTATTCTGAAGTCCAGGATGTGTATTCTGCTGCTCTCCTTTCTTCCTTTGGTCAGGCTCCTGAAATCTACCATCTCATGATTACTGCTTCCCAGGTTGTTACCCGCCTGTACTTCCCCTACTAGTTCCTCCCTCTAGTTGTGTTGCTACATCATTAGAAGGTCCACTCCAACTCAGGTAGACAGTTAATCTCTCTCTCTGTTACCTATGCCTGTAAAAAGGTAATACATTTTTACCCACTTCACAGTGGAGGCTGTTAGGAATAATCATGTGCATAATACATTTGCCTTTTTCTTTGAATATACTTGTTACAGAATGTTTGATGTTACTATTGTTGTTGGGCTCTTGCTACACCTTGAAGGAGCAAAAAGCAGCACTGTAAATGAGGGGGAGACAGAATTTCATATTAAATATGCATCTGCCAGACTTTGGACTTGGAGCCGCCTTCTGCCAATTGAGTTTCTTTTGCCTGTTTCCAGAGACATAGTTTTCTCACAAAAAAGGCCTGGATAATGTGCATGTTGATTTTTTTTTAACCTTCTTATCCTGGATATTGAGGTCATTCTGAATATGTCTCTAAAGTGATTTTATATTTTGTTAAAAGCCATTTCAGTTTACAGTATTTTTCACCATGAATATTTGTTTAGGATCACTTTTCA